TAATGTGTGGCTATAATCAACCAGTTCTGTGAGGATCCTGATCACCAGTGCTTTAAACTGTGAGTCTGAGAGTTTTGCTATTTCTTCATTGCTTAGATTTATAGGCTCTGGGGCTTTGAGATCTTCTTGGACCATTTTTGGTCTGTTCGCGCCTGTTAAGTTTGAGTAGCAGAGCCTTGGACTCTCAGGTCGCTGGGTTGTGACGCTATATGTGGGGGCGTGGTCAGAGTGGGGAAATGGCAACCCCCTCTGCTGTTTCTCGCTGCTTGCTGAGGAGCAGAGCCTTAGGTGGTTCACCAGGGTGGGGCCACTGAGGTCACTGGGTTATGACGCTGTTGTGGAGGCGGGGTCATAGCAGGGAAATGGCGATGCCCTCTGCTGCTGCCCCCACCGTGGCGCCTGCTCAGTCCAGTACTCTCACCGCCCACTCCCTCGCTTGTCCATCTGTGCACAAAAGCGTGACCACAGTCAACCCACAGCCCTGCTCCCTCGCTATTTCCCCGAAGTCGCTCGCTGAGTCGCTTACTAGGTCCAAGCCTGCGCCTGGGTTCCGCAAGCCCGAGTCCGTCCGACCAAGTTTTTCTGTGCAACCCCACTCCAACAGCTGCTGGTTTCGCCCCTCTTACCGGTCAGGCTAAAGAATTTGTTGTTATCAGACTTCCGAAAAGTTCAATTTTCTGTGTTCTGGCTGTGTTTTCTGTTGCTAATATTTAGTTGTCTCTAAACTTGGTTGTGAGAGGAAGCACGACTTCTCCACATATGCCTCCATCTTGGCGGAAGTCCCTGGTGTTATTTTTTTTTAGGTTGTTGATAGTTGTGAGTTTCTTGTCATTTTACTGTTTGTATTTTATATCTTCTTTTTTCTTAGCTAAGCCCCTTTAACATTTCATATAATAAAAGGGCTTGGTGCTGATGAACTCCTTTGACTTGTCTTTATTTTGGAAGCACTTTATCTCCCCTTCCATTCTAAATGATAGCTTTGCTGGTCAGAATCATCTTGGATGTAGATCCTTGCTTTTCATAACTTTGAATACTTCTTTCCATCCCCTTCTTTTTTATTTATTTTAATTTAATTTAATTTTATTTTATTTTATTTATTGCTGTTCAAGTAAAGTTTTCTGCCTTTTATCCCCATCCCAGCCAACCCCTCAGCCCTCCCAAACTCCCTCATATTTTCAACCCCCTTGTTATTGTCCATGTGTCCTTCATACTTGTTCCTGTGAATCCTTCCCCTTTTACTCTGAAATTCCTTCCCCTCTCCCTTCTGGTCACTGTCAGCCTGTTTGTATTTCAGTGTCTTTGGTTATATTTTTCTTGCTTGTTTGTTTTGTTGTTTAGCTTCCTGTTAAAGGTGAAATCATATGGTATTTGTCTTTCACTGCCTGGCTTATTTCATTTAGCATAATGCTTTCCAGTTTCATCTATGCTGTCACAAAAGGTAGGAGCTCCTTCTTTCTTTCTGCTGAATAGAATTCAATTATGTAAATGTATCAGTTTTTTTTTTATTTATTCATTTATTGATGGGCACCTAGATTGCTTCCAGCACTAGGCTATTGTAAATTGTGCTGCTATGAACATTGGGGTGCATAGGTTCTTTGGGATTGGTGTTTCAGGGTTGTTAGGATCCAGCCCCTTCTTGCCTGTAAAGTTTCTTTTGAGAAATCAGCTAATAGTCTTATCGGTGCTCCTTTGTAGATAACTGCCACCTTTTCTCGTGCTGCTTTTAAGATTCTATCCTTACCTTTAATCTTGGGTTATTTAATTATGATGTGCCTTGGTGTGAGCTTCTTTGGGGCCAACTTCTTTGGAACTTTCTGAGCTTCCTGGACTTCCTGGAAGTCTACCTCCTTTGTCAGATTGGGGAAGTTTTCCTTTATTATTTGTTGAAATAAGTTTTTAATTTCTTGCTCTTCCTCTTTTCCTTCTGGCACCCCTATGATTTGGACATTGGAATGTTTAAAGTTGTCTTAGAGGTTCCTAAGCTTCTCCCCATTTTTTGAATATTTGTTTCTTCATTCTGTTCCAGTTGAATGTTTATTTCTTCCCGCAGTCCCAAATCATTCAAGTTCTGGTTTCCTTCCCTTCACTGTTGGTTCCCTGTACATTTTCCTTTATTTCACTTTTCATAGCCTTCACTTTTTCCTCTATTTTGTGACCATACTCAACTATTTCTGTGAGTATCCTGACTACCAGTGTTTTGAACTGTGCGTCTGATAGTTGGGTATCTCTTTGGGTATCTCTTTATCACATAGTTGTATTTTTTTGAATCTTTGATCTGTTGTTTCATTTGGGCCATATTTTTTGTTTGTTTTGGCATGTCTGTTATGTAGTAAGGGGCAGAGCCTTAGGTATTCACTGGGGCAGGGCAACCCACTTAGCTGTGTTGTGGGACTGTATGTGGGGGAGTGGTCCAACAGGGAACCATGTCACATGGTCAGCTCTTGGCCAGCTTTCAGTCACTTTTTCACTTTCTGCTGCTAAGTGGTTTGGTATTGAGAAACTGCTGATACCTTTGTGAGAAAACTATAACATTACATTTAAGAGACTGACGAGATCTGGTTAGCAGGCAGTTCTCATCTAACAGACATTACCAGGCCCTCCCACTGCACTATTTTTTAAAATATATTATATTGATTAGTCCATTACTGTTGTCCTATTTCCCCCCTTCATTCCCCTCCATCCTGCAAACCCCTTCCCCTACCATTCCCCCCCTTTAGTTTATGTCCACATGCATCAAGTTCTTTAGATTCCACTGCACAACTTTTGGGATTCACACATGCAAAACGTAGTCTCAACAATTATCTAGTTTAGAAGCAGGGTATGGAAGAAATAAGCCTCTCAGGGGCTTGTGAGAAAGGAAAAAGTGACATGTAAGTGACTACTTTCACATAGTATATGCATTTCTTTAGCAAATTTAGGTTTTCTGTGGAATAAGAGCAGAGAAGCTAGAAAATGCTAAGAGTAATAACTAAAATCCCTTTATCAACTTGGTGCTTTTCTCAACAGGATAAAGATTGATGCCATGGTGGGTCTTTATAATCTTCTAAGAATATTCCATGGCTCCCATTCCTATAAAGATTGCCAAGCTAGACATTTTCTCTCACTGGACTCTTCAGTTCTCCTACCATCTCTGTTTAACAAGGCTTGGATTATGGGGTCCATAGGACCTTACATGAAATCTTACTGTGGTTGGCCTTGTCCTGAGAAGAACTTTGTTAGGAATGTGGAGCATATTTTTTGAGTTATGTTTATAATACTTTTCTTAATGCTCCCTGATAATTGTGCATATTTATTTTTTAAAAATATTTTTTCAAAGCAAAATCAGTGTTTTATGAGACTATTGACTTGAGTATAAACTCATAGAGAAAAATGCAGATTTCGCCCCCCTTTTAATTAAGGGAAGAATTATAACAAGAACCAGCTGTTGTAAATGCTACCTGTGAGCTATTACTTAACCTCATTCTTTCCCCTTTTAATAGCTACTTTTTGTGTTATAGATAAAATGTCTCTGCCCATTTCTCTCAGAACATGCTTTGGCATTTTCCAAAGTTGACCCTGTTTGCTGAGCAGTCATCTTATACCTCAGAGCTTTTTAGACTCCAGTTTTACTCTTTAGAATTATAAACAATATGAGTGGAAGGTTTATAAATTTTACATTTCAAAGTTCTCTCTATTTTAAAAGTTGGGAAGTATAAGATGTCTTTAGAACAAGCCTATCTCAACATTTCATCAACCATATAGGAGGCCAGAAAATTTAATGTTTGTGAGCAACTGCTTTGGGAACAGGAAATTTCTATTCTTCTATTTCCTAAGCTAATATCCTTGGGCTTTAATTTCCTCATTTATAAAATGGGAATTTTAATAGGGCTTGCCTCTCAGGGTTGGGGTAAACATTACATAAGATAAAACATATAAAGAGCTTAGGCCAGTGCCAGGCATGGAGAAAGATCTTAATAAATGTTAGTGAGAATAGTGGTGATAATGATAAAGATTTTGGAGTCCCAAAAAGTATTACAGCACTACAACATAGTATTTTCCGATAAGAAATTGGATCATATTTTCAGCCAAGCTTATTTGAATTTGTTACTGTTGAGGAGAAAATTTGTCTGTCACTTACTGCCTGTGTATATTTTTACTTAGTTGGAGTATATGTGCACAAGCTTGCAAGTGTGCACACATAAATGCAAATACTTTTACATCTTATGTCCATGCCTTGATGGTCAGGAGTTTTCTTTTAGCCCCTTTTGAAAAATTCAACACAGTTGTCAATGTTGTACAGTGCACACAGTAGGCTGTCTGCAAATATATACTGCTTTTATTTTTTTATTAATTAATTAATTTTTAGATAGAGTGGAAGGGAGGGAGAGAAACATCAATGTGTGGTTGCCTGTCGTGAACCCCTACTGGGGAATGTGGCTGGCAACCCAGGTGTGTGCCCCAACTGGGAATTGAACCAGTGACCCTTTGGTTCACTGGCCAGTGCTCAATCCACTTAGCCATTCCAGCTAGGGCTCTAATGTTTTTATTTGATAAAAAATCTAAATCTCATGCTAAATTATATTAGTAGGTATTATGACCTTATTAAAACTCACAACATGTTTTGTGTTTAAAGAAAAAGAAATTCAATTAGTAAATAAGGCCTTAAAAACTACTTAGGCCTGCTAGTTTTTACATAGTAGAACACAGATAGCAAACACAAGGCCCACAGCTGAAAGAAGCCCTTCACCTTGTTTTATCAGGCCCAGCACATTGTTTCTACCTGGTGGCAGTGCCGAGCTGTCTCTTTACTGTTAAGGAGTAATTACATGTATACAGTCCTAAAATTACACTCGGCCTTTTGAAGGCAAATACAAGGCTGATGTGGCCCCTGGTGAAAATAAGTTTGACATCCCTTCAGTAGAGGATTCTGTTACTTTGAAAATGGCTCATACATTGGTTGGTTTTGAGTTTTTAAAATGCTATCCTCGTTTAAGGTATTATCCTTTGTTTTTATGTTACAGGGGAAAACTTACCCATTTCGGGGTGCATTCCCTCCGGTATGGAACCCAATTGCATATCTGGACTACAACAACTTGTGGCGGACAATGGATAACATGGGAAAAGAGGTAAAGTGTGTGTGTTCAGTTTGCACATGACCTGTTCCTGTAGTAACAATAGCAGCTGTTTAATACCCTTCTACAGTGCAGGGAGCATGGCTCTGGATAATGATGCATATCATTTCCAATGTACTCAACAACTCTGAAAAGTTTGCAGTATTTCCACTTTACAAGTGAGGAAAATGAGTGCCAAGGGGTTCTGTGATATCCCCAAGACAACATAGCAAGGGAACCAGGATTCAAACCCACATCATTCTCAGTGGCAGAGTGTGCCTGTGTACTTTGCACACTCTGCCACTGAGAATCTATGTGACATATGTTTGCTAGGTATCCTACTTATATGATGCCACTTTAGTAGTAAAGGAAAGACAGATTTGTTTCCTCAAGTTTTTTTTTTTTTTACTTAGTCTCAGGCTCTGTAACATCACTCCGAAACTTAAATTGGGGACTTAAAATGGGTGTTAACTTTCAATAATAGTAATTACAATTATTATCAAAATTTCTTAATTTATATGTTTATACTACATATTAATGTATTACAAATTTATACATGCATTTATATATTTCCATTATTATTATTTTTCTAGCAACATAGTTATTCTAGCAACAGCATTACGACATAGAATCCAAAGAGCTGTGCATTGAATTGTATGCCAATCACACATTCCAACATGGATGGAAAAAACAGTTTTCAGAGGTTCTTCTTAGGGCATCTTGGCAGGGCAGTGGACAGTAACCATCACACCTGGATATGAGCCCTTTTTTCTCTGCAGATTCCAGCTGATGCGCCATGGAATGCTCCCCATGCACATGAATGGGACAGAATTACGATGAAAGACCTCATCGAAAAGATCTGTTGGACACAGTAATCTTGACTATTTAAAAATTACTTTTTATTTTCAATTCTGATTATTTCTATCCTAGCTTGAACTGCAGCATTTTTCCTTCTAAATTATAGGAAAAGAGTTAAGAGGAAATCTAATGATCTTTCAGTCAGTAGCAACATTAAGGACATTTAGAGATTTCAGAGCATGTTTGAACATAAAATGAACTTAAAGCTTAAGAGGAAAAGTAGGTGAATGAAGTAGAACATTTTTTAATGAAATAGTTTTGTGATTTGCAATAAAAGACAAGTGATTTGCAAGTGATTATGTTTTCAGATTATATAGCAGTCAGATATAGAAGCAATTTGGAAAGTAAAGTAATTTCATATAGATATAAAAATATGAAACTGGAGGGATACTGGTATATTTTAACAAAAATATAAACAATGTTTTCAGTGAGAATTTGTGTATTAGCTGAGTTACTTACAGATTATTCAGTGACCATTTGGGGCTCCTATGTGAAAGCACTGCACCCAGCAGTGCTTTCTGAGGAATGGTGGTGAATTTGTTAAACAAGTCCTCTACTCTTATGGAGTTTACATTCTCCTAGCAGGAGACTGGCATAATTGACAAAATTACATGATGCTAGGAGAGTGACTGTAACAGTGAATTTGAAATGTCAAAGAATAAAGGAGATATTCTTTAATGAAGCAATCTTTAAACAGAAACAAAAAAGTTGAAGCATCAACCAAAAATAAACCACAGAGGATGGGAGGAAACAAGGAAGGGTAGAAGGTGCTGGGGCATGGTATCATTCAGAAATGTTCCATAATGAATAAAGAGAGAGCAAAGATGTATAGTGTAAGAAGACAGTATGTTTCCAGAATGAGTGACAGTGGATTGGGAAAACAAGAAATGTGGATACGGTATTCAGATGGTATATTTTAGGAATGAACCATAGTGGATGGAGGGAGACATGAAAGATGGCTGGTGTGTTTGGATGTCTTCCAATAATGAGCAAGTTATTGGGGGGAGATAGGAAGAGTGGATGGTATGAGGAATTGTATATTGCAGGAATGGCTAGGAGACAGAAAAGATGGGTGGTGCAGTGGGATGCCATATTTTAGGAGAAAGACAAGAAGGGTGGATACTGTGGGGGGTTGGTATCTTCTAAAACAGAGCCACAGTGCATGGATGGAGGCAGAAATGATGGGTGATATGGGAGGATGGTATCTTCCAGGAATGAGCCATGGGGGATGGAGCAAGACAAAGAGATGATGATGTAAGGGGATGAGCCACAATAGATAGGAGTAGATGGCTAAGGATGAATGTTGTGGGAGGGTAGTAGCATTCAAGAATGAACCGAAGTACATGAGGAGAGACAGTAAGGATGGATGGGTTAGTTAAATGATATCTTCCTCAGTTGATGGGGGGGGGCAGGAAAGATGGATGATATGTGCAGATAATATACTCCAAGAATGAGGTAATGAATGGTGTGAGACATACAGGGAGATTGGATGGAGTGAAAGAGGAGTATCTTCCAGGAATGAAGGAATAGTATCTGTCTGCAATGAGTCACAGTGGATGGGGCTGAGAGACAGAATAACCGTATGGTGTGGAGATAGGGTATCTTCCAGGAGTATGCCACAGTGGATGGGGAAACAGGGAGGCTAGATGGTAAAGGGAATGGTATCTTCCAGGAAGGAGCCACAGTAGGTGGGAGTGGGAGAGTCTGGAAGACTGGATGGTGTGGGGGGTGGTATTGGTATCCTCCCCAAACAAGCAACAGAGGATGGGATGAAAGGAAAGGAAGATGGTGAAGGAAATGGTATCTTCCAGGAATGAGCCACAGTGGATGGGGAAGTACAAAAAGACAGGTTATATGAGGGAGTGGTGTAATCTGGGAATGCTTAGTGACTGTGAGGGGAGACAGGAAGGATATATGATGTAGTGGGATGGTATTTTCCAGGAATAAACAACATTTAATGGGGGTATACAGGAAGGCGGGATTCTGTTGAGGGGTGGGGGATGGTGTCTTCCAAGAATAAGCCAGAGTGGATGGGATGGGAAGTAAAGATGGGTGGTATGGGGAATTGGGTATCTTCCAGGAATGAGATAGTGGATAGGGTAGGGGAAAGACAGGGAAGATTGGATGTCATGGGGGATGGTATCTTCCAGGAATAAGTCACAGTGAATCAGGGTGGCAGGAGAGGTGGATGGTATTGGGGACTAGGTATCTTCCATGAATGAGCCATAATTGTTGGGGAAGACATAGGAAATGGAATATGTGTTTAGATGGTATTTGTAGCAATGAGCCACAGTAGATGGGGTAAGAGAAGAGCAATAGATGGTGTGGGAGAATGGTATCTTTCAGTCATGGGCCAATTGATATGGAGACAAGAAGAATGAACTGTGTGATTGGATGGTGTCCTCCAAGAATGAGCCACATTGAATGGGGAGTAGACAACATGTGTACATGGTATCTTTCAGGAATGAGTCATAGTGCATGAGGAATACAGGAAGGATAGATGATGTGGAAGGGTGGTATCTTTAAAAAATGATTCACAGTAGATTGGGGGAGACAGAAAAGTTGAATGATGTTTGTAGGTGGTATCTTCCAGGGTTATACTACAGTATTTGGGGTATGGTAGGGGATACCTTGATGTTGTGAGGGGATGGCATCTTCCAATAATGATGTACTATGGATGGATGCAGACCTGAAGGATAAACGGTCTGATGGGTGGCATATTCCAGGAATAAGCCACAGAGAACAGAGGGCATTATGAAGGGTGGATATTTTGGAAAAGTTATTTTCAAGGTGGAGAGAGCAACAAACAGCTTTTATAAAGGCCACAAGGTTGGAAGATTGGCATGTTTTAGCAAAGTGTGGACAGTATTCCTGGGCCATAAAGAGATCCTGAGAAAGTGATGTAATGACAGATTGGAGAACTGGTTGATTTGCTGATGGTGCAATATTAATTGGCCATATTTGAGATTTTTGCCTTTTTCCATGAAGACCATTGAAAAGTTTTAAGTGGAGTGGAGTTTTTTTGTTTTGTTTTCTTTTGAGCTATTTAAAGACTTCATTGGCTATAATTTGGAGAAGCATCAAGAGGGAATATAAGATGACCAGGTAGGGCTAACCATAAGCAGCCATGACTATAACCCAGTTGATAGTCAGTGGTTATCCTGGACTACGTTGGGGGCAGCAGAGGTGGAAAGTAGAGGAGGGTTATTCAAATATGTGAGAACATATATCCTTAATTATCCCTGAGAAGCATATTGATTCTTTAGACTATACTGGGATTAGCATATTTGAAGCTGACCCATAACTTCCTAAAAGCAAGGGAAAAGTTAATTTTTCCAAAGAGTTAAAATATGCCTTCCTTCAGAAATTGAGTTCATGAGGGTTTTTTTCAAAAGCCACAGAAATATTTTCTAACCACATTAAATTGTGTTTTAAAAACATGATGTCCAGTGAAGCATATATGTATTTGCCTCTGACATCTACTCTTATTCTGTGACCAGGACAGCTAAGCAGTTTGCATCTCTCTTTGTGAACATCAATGTGACCTCTGAGCCGCATGAGGTATCTGCCCTGTGGTTCTTGTGGTATGTGAAGCAGTGTGGTGGCACCACTAGGATATTCTCTGTTACCAATGGGGGCCAGGTATGAACTGTTCATTTGCAAATATAACTTTATTTGAGATTTTTGCCCCTACCCCCAGATCACTATCTCAATAATTGCTTTTACATTTTGAAACATGAATAATTAGCAGCTTGAAATGATCTCAAAACACTTTTCTGAAAACAAAAGTTCTCATTTCCATTTCTCATTCCTGAAAAGTAAGTTTACAGCTAAAGAATGTTTCATTTTGAATTATGTAGGTTTTGGGAATTCAGTTATTTCCTTTTGAAGGTAGGTAAAATTAGGCTACTTATGTAAAGTGAAGCTAAATTGCTGAAATAACTAATTTCCAAAAATATCTATTACAGTTGCCCCCCTCCACATCCATGGTTCATCTGTCAAAAGTTTTAGTTATCTTTGGTCAGTTGCAGTCTGAAAATATTACATGGAAAATTTCAGAAATAACCAAGTCATAAGTTTAAATTGTACAACACTCTGAGATGTGAGATGAAATCTCATGCCCTCCCAGTGTGTCCTATCCGAGACATGAATTATCTCTTTGTCTACTGTTTCCATACCATAGATACTCCCTGCTTGTCGATCACTTAGTAACCATGTCAGCTGTCATGGTATCACAATGCTTATGTTCAAGCATCCCTTATTTTACTTAATAATGGCCCCAAAGTGCAAGAGTAGTGATGCTGGCATTTCAGATATGCCAAAGAGAAGCTGTAAATTATATCTATCTATATAGCATACATAAGGTTTGATTCTCTCCATGGTTTCAGACATCCATTGTAGGTCTTGGAACATAGTGCACACAGATAAGGAGAGGATTGTTGTACTTGTAAAATTATTGTGTTCAAAGTCACCTCTGCTTCAGACATAAGGCTTTTTTTGTCCTATTCTGTGTCTCAGTTATTCTTTTATGTTAACTATTATAAAATGGACGTGACTATTCTTTCTTCTAATTTTTATTATAATATATGGCAACTCTTTCATTAGTAAATTCTATATTTCAGATTCTAAATTTTTGCTGCTAACTAGAATTTGGTTCCATACCACTTCTGTTATGGACTCATTTAGCTTATTGTATGGACACACAGCAAACCATTGATGAGACCAGACTCCTAATTCCCCAATTTTTTAGCTTCTGAGATTATTTCAAGGCTCGCCCTTAGCCAAAGAAGATGGGTCTCTATTTCCTAGGAATATTAGGCCTCAATGGGATGAGGTTTAATTAGGAATAGTTTACATCTAATTTTGCTGTGTTCCATAGTGCAAAGTATAGAGTCCTTATCCACTAAGTGAATTATTTTTCTTCTTAGGAGATCTCCAGAATTCCCCAAGTTGCTCTATGGCCCCAAGAGTTATTGTCAATTGACCCTTATTTTTATCTAATGCAGGACAGTTGCATTTTTTATATCTTTACATATAGGTAGAAATAACACATTATTCCTTTAAACCTGTATTTTACTTTCCAGGGTATCTTGACTCATTCAGAGGAGTCAAGATACTTCTAGCCAAACTCTATGTGGACTTTTGGAAAGCACAGTTCATATTATGACTCTCAAACAATTATCACAATGTCTTTATAAAGAACTTAGATTTATTCTTTAATAATTTAATTCAACCAATACTAAACATAGAGGGGTAGCCAGTGAGCAAGATGAAATAGTTCCAAGATGAACAAGTAGAAATAGTCCATTTCCACTATACTAAAATTGAAAGTAAGCCTTGGAAAACAGAGGTCAAATTATAAATTAAATTGTCCCAGTTTCTTGAGGAAAAACAGAACATGAATTTAAGTCTGAATTACTATGGGTATATTTTTATAAAGAACTTCAATGGTGTCATTAGAACAATAGCCAGTTATGAAAAGCATAAAAACCACTGTGTGGCTGCTCATGCAAGGTTTTGTAGAGGAGCATGACTGTCGTACCTAATTGTCAAATGTTGGGCTGTGCCTCAGTCTATCTAAATGTATTTGTAACCATTCAAAGAATCTTCTACAACAGATTAGATATATTCCCCTGGTTCTTACAAAATGTGTTGTATTAAGGACTTATCTTCTTAGATTAAGCTGGAACCATTTCCATGGTGACTATAGCAGATCACAGTGGGGAACAGCACTCATGGTTTTATAGGGCTGCTCAAGTGAACTATTTAACAATGTCTGAAAGAACAGGCAGGTGTTTAGGTTTCACCCTTCTTCCCCCACACTGAATGCCCCTTGAAGACATTTTTGCAAAAGGTTACTCAATATCTGAGATTTAGATTCTTAGAACATCATTGGGTGATGACCAGATGCTTTATAAGAGTACTCTGAACCTGTTCTCTTAGAGAACATTTTAACCTGCCTAGGCAGCTCTTGGCTGAGGCTTTAAGAAACCAAGATGAGTTATGAACTGCATCCCCATTTCAATAAAACTAAAAATATTATTAATTAAAAAAATAAACCACATCCTTTGGGAGAAGCACCTGCACTTTCTCTGGATTTCCTCCATGCACTGCATTCGGGCATTTGAAGCCCAGAGGCTTGCTGATATTTGCATTCAGTGAACAGACCAGTATAAGGGCACATTTCTTTTAATTCTGTGACTTTATAAATTAGTAACTGCTTTTTATTGTCAGAAACTGCAGAACATGATAATCAAGGTCTTCCAGTAGACTTTGCCTCTGACCTAATGAGTTCGTCCAATGGTTAAGTATACAAAGAGTAATGGTATGGCCTCTGACTTTCTGGAGGTTTTCTAATCAGTGGCAAATATGATAGTCCTTTTTTTGGCTTCTGTGATGTTTCTTGCCTGCCTTCTCCTGTAGGAACGGAAGTTTGTAGGTGGATCTGCTCAAGTGAGTGAAAAGATAATGAGCCTTCTTGGGAACAAAGTGAAGCTGATGCGTCCTGTTACTAGCATTGACCAGTCAGGTGACAACATCATTGTACAGACGCTGAATCATGAAGTTTATGAGGTAATTCAGTTTAGTCAAAAGGATCATATATTAAATAGAGCTTGTATTTCCTGTAGCTTCTAACCAAATATAATCCAAGCAGTGGCATAATTAATACTGGCATGTTTCCAACTCAGTCTTCCAAATAACCAGTCTTGGCTGACCTACCTTATTGTTTTTACCTCACTCTAGCCTCATTTTGTATACTCTTTCTGCTCAGTGCCATTCAAAATGGTAAATATCATGTTTTACACCCCCTGCAAACACTCTGACTCATGCCTGAGGTGGAATTTTGTATTCATGTCTTTTAGTGCAAATATGTTATTAGTGCCATCCCTCCAACTCTGACAGCCAAGATTCACTTTACTCCAGAGCTGCCACCTGAGAGAAACCAGTTAGTTCAACGTCTTCCAATGGGAGCTATCATTAAGTGTATGATGTATTACAAGGAAGCCTTTTGGAAGAAGAAGGGTAGGTTACATTTATTAATGTTTAAATTGTGTTAAGAGAAGGAACTGCTCTTTTTGGGGAACATTATACTAGATACTGGACATAAAAATGGTAAGTGCTTTCAAATTGGTAGAGAAAGGTACAGAAATCTTAGTCTGTTCATTTCCTCATAGCCCCTCATAACACAAAATCACCCTAAGAACACTTGCTGGCTGTGAAAGGGAAGTAAGAGATACCACTAGTTGCAGGGTACCATTACTCTGGCTCCTGGCATATGTTCTCCCACTTATTTTCATGAGCTGAGTGAGACAAAGGGGCACCACGGAAAGAGTACTGCTTTGAAGTCACTTTTTTCCTGGGCTTCACTTGTTTACTAGCTGTGTGGCCTGTGGTGTGATGCTTCACCTCTCTCAGCGTTAGTCTCCTTGTGTAAAATGGTAACAATGAAACCTACTGTCAGGTTATCATGAGGATTAAATGAGGCAGGGTCAGGGCAGATATGGTAGCTATTGTTAATAAGCCTTCTGCTCATACTCACAGGATCACTTCCTGCCACCTCTTCTGTGATTTCATAGGGGTGATTCCCTCTAACACAGCCCTCTTCTTCCCTATGTATTCCAGGGCTCCAAGATCATCATAAAATTCTAATTATGCATTTTTTATATATGATCATTATGTAAAGATCATCAAGATGGGTCATTTTCCATGTGTCTGGGTGAAAATTTTTGTATAGTCAAGTGTGTGTATTTGATAGGAAATAGCTTCTAGAAAGTGGGAGCAAAGAGCAATAATTTAAGCTTTACCTTTCTCTTAGCAAAATGATATATATATATTTTTTACAAATATATTATATATAAATATGTATGATTTTTATATAAATATATATGTATATATATATATATATATATATATATATATGTAAATTTCCCCTAAATCTCTGATGAGGTCAAGTCTCAATATCCTATTGATTTTCTTCTGGTTAAGACTACTGTGGTTGTATGATCATCCAAGATGAAGAGGCTCCAATTTCGATAACCCTAGATGACAGCAAACCAGATGGATCTCTGCCCGCTATCATGGGGTAAGTTTGAGTTGGGTATTCTGCATTTTCCAAATGGTGTTGGTGTATTTGTGTGAATATTGTCAGAGCATATTGCTTTGAAATCAAGTTCAAGCAATGATAAATAACCCTACAGAAATATATTATGTTTCCATGTATTAAAATATTAATGTTTTATACATAGCACAAGAACATTGGGAAGCTTTACTAAAATTGACACCATTTGAACTTGTTCCCATATATTTCTTTCCTCCATAAAACATATATATATCACAGCAAAAAAAAAAAGGCAACATTAACCAGGTGGTATGGTAGACAACCCTACTTAGAGGCAGAATGTCCACAACCATTCTGGAACAAAAACTGTTTTATCTTCCAAAGATAAACTGTAAAATCTTCCAAAGCTACGGTTTCTGGGATTTAACCTCTTCTCCATTCCAAACATTGCTACATAGCAAATGTTAATTTGTTCATTGTTTCCCTGGGATATAAGATGCATGACTAATTAGGAAGTACAGTTTGGAGCAGTGCCAGTCCTGATGCCAATGTCACTTTTTCTAGCAGATCAACCTATAGCTATCCTTCACCAGAGATGGTCCAGGGAGACGTTCTGTGTCTTGAAGAGGAGAGCTCTTCCCCTCTCTTCTGAATCCCACACACAGCTGTCCTGCCCTTTGAGTACTAGGCAACCAGAGAGGGAAGGGAGGCTCCTGCAGATTGCTAAGGAGTGCCACAGCCTCCAATTTGCCATGTATTTTAGTGGTCCTCATAGCTGTACAAACAAAAGAACTGTTTGGTCTACCAATGATAACAAAAGAGCACAGCTTATATAGCAGTCAAGTGATTTTTAGGGACCTGTGATTTTCTTCTTCACCCCATGGGAGAATTGAGCTCATGTGTATTGCATTGTTAAAGGGAAATTACAAAATCAAGAGGAACAGACCCATGACTCAAGGGACTTAGAAGACAGGATGTGCTACCAGATAGCTAACAAACCATTTTGTAACCACTGTTCTGGCTATAACATATAAGAAACAGCATTAACTCCCCTGGAAATGGCAGAAGCTCACATCATAATGACCATAGTGACAATACATGCTCTTCATCTCTGACCACTCTGGGGAAGAAAGGATACAGATTGTTTGTGCAGTTTGGCATCACCTTCTACATGCCAAAAAAAAGCAGTTGGTTGAAGTAGAGATTTTAGGAGACTCAATCAACATTAGTCCACCTGTGAATGGAAGAACATTGATATTCTCTTACCCTGGGAGTTAGATATTGTAGCATCTGCCCTTCTGGGCTTTCTTCAGCTGTGCTAACAAGGATGTGCATGGCAGAAGACTTCCAGATGGTAATGGGGTTATTTAAGCAGTTTACAAAAAGATTTATCTGGACAATTGCCCCTACTCTGTTCTTCCCTTGAAACTATATTAACTCCACCCTGCTCTTTGCTCTGGGCAGGGAAAGCTTTGAAGATAGGAATATTAATTGCCCAATACTGTTTGTGATAATTAGTGCCTTCTGGAAATTAGAAAGGAACTTGTACTTTAGAGCTGTGAAATGTTCCCACCCCAAAGCCAGCATGTTTGATTTCCTCAATAAAACAGCAAAGAAACTTAAAGGATAGTTGTCCATATAGAAGTAGATCAAAGACCTTATTTTATTCTTGACTTTAAGTTCAACAAAAATAGCCAACACTAACAGCCCTTTAGAAAAGGAATTATAAAAAGTACCCAATATCTGGAAAGGTTTTCAGCTAAATGATTTAATCTTTCATCAGATATTGGTGATTTCCATCGAAATAATCACATAAATTTAAAATGATAGATTTTGCATAAACCTAAAATTTAACTAAAATTACTAGCAAGCCATAACATATGATATCAAATCAAGCAAAATTATGACTATCTCCTATAAAGTATGACTTCCTCTGAAATACTATTCTCTATATTAACACAAATACGTTTTTATGCCTTTGCTTCCTGAAATGATCTCAACAGCTCTAAAGGAACTTCTAAATAAAATTGAGAAACAGTTTAATTTGGGGGTATGAGAGAGGACAAAATACCTGCTTTTAGTCCATGAATTTTCAGTGCAGATCTGCTTGTCTTTTGTGGCTATAACAAAAGAAATGCAATTTCTAAACTTTTTTTAATGGAGAAATAACTTCATTGTCCCTTAGCTCATTTAGAGTTTTGAAAAAAATGATTTTCTAGTAATATTATAATATAAGGACTTCTTGTCACAATTCAATTCTTTAAAATATCCAAGTTATTAGTAATGTCAGTGTAATAAATAGAATCTATTTGATTAAAAGGAAGCAGACAGATTATAACTGAATTTTACTCAATTACTGAATTTTGTGAATGTGCTAAGCAAGTTTCCTGGGAAGCCAACTTGGAGATAGAGATTTGTGCGTAGAAGGTTCATTGGCAAGTGCTCTAGGATCACTGCCTATGAGGAAGGAATCAGGATCAGACAGGAGAAGGGATTGGTTTCTAGTGCTGATCCAGTGAAGGCAGGCCTAAGCCATCCTACAGCAAGCTCTGGAGCTGGGTGATCCTTGAGAGATATCCTGCACTCCTCAGCTAGTCATGCTGGGGAGAGGCAGGGGATTTTGAGTCAGGCAGTTCTCTGCTGCAGAATAAAATTGCTGGAGAAGGGTTCAGCTGTGTGAGCTGAGGGCAATGAATGCTCTGGGTGTCCCACCATGGCATCCACTACAGACATGTATTTATATTTGTTTTTCCAGCTTTTATCAAGTATTTGGCAGAAAGCAATAGTCATTACCAGGATAATCATTTCATGCAATGCCAATTTTTCTGACATTTGATTTCCCACTGTATGCCAAGAACTGTACCAAACTTTGGGGGTAAAATATTGAGTAGGATGCCACCTGTCATTTAGGAGTGCAAAGCCTAGCAGTGGTTTTAGATACAGAAGCAGATGAAAGACAGCATGGCATTTATTCTACCAGAGGGAAATATTGGGAGGGTGTGGGAGATTTCATTAATGCTGAGTTCATGGAGGCAAGAGCACTTCCAAAAAGGGAGCTCTTAAGATAAACTATTGTCACCTAATTGTTGAAATGTAACTTCTCTCTCCAGTTTCATTCTTGCTCGAAAAGCTGTCCAACTAGCAAATCTCTGTAAAGATGAAAGGTAAGAATTTACTTCAAGTAAGCCAGGCGGTGAAAGACAAATACCATTTGATCTTACCTTTAACAGGAACCTAAACAATAAGACAAACAAGCAAGCAAAATATAACCAAAGACACCGAAATACAGAACAGGCTGACAGGGACCAGAGGGGAGAGGGGAGAGGGGAGAGAATTTCAGGGGAAAAGGGGAAGGATTTGGAGGAACAAATATAAAGGACACATGGACAATAACTAAGGGGGGTAGAAATGGGAGGGAGGTGGGGAGCACTGAGGGGTGGGCTGGGATGGGAGTAAAAGACAGAAAACTGTACTTGAACAATAATTAAATAAATTAAAAACAATAATAATACAATGGAAAAAAGAATTTACTTCTGAAACATATGTAACAGGTTAGCTTTATATTGTGCTTGTTGTACTAACAATATAATAGCATTATGAAAAACAATAATTCACCAGTATTCTCAAAATCCTAATAAATCAACCTTTTCAGATTTTGCTACAGCTCCCTTGACACAGCCCTTGTTCATAAGCATATATTAATTTAGTTTTACATATTTGTTTTTATTTTACAGTGATTGAGGGTTTAGGGTTTCTTTGTAAGATGGATGAAGAAAAATTATAGAAGACATTACCTGTGAAAAAAACTGTTAGAGACCCAGTTTCAATAACCTTGCAAGACCATTATTCCTTTATCAAGTTTCTCTGACATGCACTTTTTCTGAAAAGCAAATCCGTGCATATGTGTTTCAACCTGTTTCAACTTATGTACATAAAAGTATTCTCCTTTTATTAGGAGAATTAGCTAGATTATTTAGGACACAGTTCTGATATTTTCTTTTCTCAAGAACTTCCTAGTATAAAAGAATTTAAAGACAATGGATTTTTCTTTCTCCCTTTCTCTCTGTGCATTGTTGTATTTTTGCTTTGTTTTGTTTTGCCTTGGAGTTATTTGTTCAAATAAAATCTCACCTGGAAACAGTCATTTGACTTTTGAAGGACTACCCCTGGGAATTTCTGGGCTTCCCCTGTTTATGGTAGCCTTAAATCTCTCATTAGCTTTTGACAAGAACCAATATATACACAATGTACTTCTTGCGTTTAATTTAAACATTAAACAGCAAATCCACTAACAGCCCTTGCTTTAAGAGTTACTTGGATGACCCTGGGAGTCAGGAAAAGCTGCAGAAGTTACCACATTTGCACATGGATTAGTTTATTTGAATTTCCATGAGATATGCTGTTAGGAAGGGAACTGTTTTAGTGTCCAGCTACTCACACGATAGAGGAAAAATTGTGGGGTCCAGTGGTGGGAAACAGTTTCACCAATGCTCCATATCTAGTTTATGACAAAGTCAGGAATAGTATCTAATGCATACCTTCTTTCATTACACAACACTAAGCTTGACATTTTCTTTTGGATTTCCTGCTTCTCCTTCCTTATTAATAGTAAAGTAAATACCAGCCCAGGTGTACACATTTGGTTATGATTCCACATAGTGACTGAACTTCTCAAAAGTTTTTATAGGACAAAACCTTTAGAAGTCTTAATATGTTATCGACTACAGCAACAGTTTCCAGAACTGACTGCATCAAAATCTCCCATAGAATGCTTAATGTGCTGAATACACACACATGCACACACTGGAATATTACATAGCAATAAAAAAAGAATGGAACCTTGCCATTTGTAACAACATGGATGGACCTAGACGGTATTATGTTAAGTGAAATAAGTCAGACAGAGGAGGACAAATACTGTAAACAAACAGAGTTAAAACCAAACAGACTCATAGGAACAGAGAGCAAAGGGATGGTTGCCAGAGGGGAGGGGTGTAGGGGGTGAGTAAAAAGGGGAAGGGGAATCTACTTAATAATATTGTGATAAATTTACACAATGACAGATGATTACTAGTGGATGATTACATTGTAAGGTATAAAAATGTAGAATCACTATATTATATACCTGAAACTAATGTAACCAATCTATGTGTATACCAACTATACTTAAATTTTAAAAAAGAATCTTTGGAAAATATATACTGTGTGAAGCTGATAAATCATGATTCAGTAAGTTAGGGGTGGGGCCTGAGGATTTGTATTTTTTAAGGAACTTTGCAAGTGATTGTAGTGAGCATCTAGATTTAGAAACCAGTGGGTAAATTTAATTGCAAAACAATTTACCCAGTGACCTCCTTTGGCCATCATTAAAATGTGCCAACATTTTTAGAGCCCAACTAATCAGACAGTGCATTACTCCAGTTACTTTTCTAAAATGTTTTTAAATTTAATGAGAGGAATGAATGGGGAAGATAATTTCCTGATGTAGTTGTATGAAGTTATTCTTGACTTATCTAATAATATGAAATACAGTCAAATGACTTATATTTCTATTATAACCTGTTTATCATTCATGATTTTAAAAATAGCTGCCTGTAGTTTCATTAGATTTTAGGTTTCACGCTGTTTTAATAAAGATTTTATTACATGTCCCCCAAATAAGTTAAACTTCATTAAACTTTTCAGAATGATTGTCAGTACTTTTATTTTCTAACTGACTCAAAATGTTAGCATTGTTCCTTGTAACCTCATGTGAAGTAGTTAAGAATCATTCATCTATATCTCTATGTATATCATGGAGGGTACAATACTAGGCTGAGGAGGGATTTTGGTTCAGTACATTTTTATTGAGCACTAACTACAGGTAGGATGCTCATGAGAGTTCAGCCTAAGCCCTGCTATTAATTAGCTCATTGATATGGAACAACTCTTTTTAGTGCACTGAGCCCTAATCTCCTCATCTCTGAAATAAAGGGCTTGAACTTGACAGAGAGAGACAGACAGATAGGAGGATAGTAGTTTTGAGACTTCTTCCAGTTCTCCCTTTCCTTTATAATTATTGATCTACAGTATAAACAGCTCCTTGAAGGGAAGCCAAACTTTTTCTGTTTGTCCTGAAACTTAAGTAGCAACCTAATGTTGTAGGACATTACCTCAGGAGTGGCATTTGTCTACCCCTTAAAACATTTGATGGTAACATGGTTGCAATAGGCAGTGCTTATAGTTCCACCTCATCTTCCTGCTGTCTTAACACTGTATATCCACAAGATGGAAGTTCTGACAGTTATATAAATGGTGTAAACATGAACATTTGGGTAAATTTTTAAGGTTACATTTTGTCCAACATTATTCAGAGACACTAGGAGAATGTTTTCAAAATATTTTCTAGCCCTGGCTGGTGTGGTTCAGTTAGCTGGAGCATCATCCTGTAATTGAAAGGTTGTGAGTTTGATTTCAGGTCAGAGCACATGCCTGGGTTGTGTGTTGGATCCCAGATCTCTGATGCCAGGTCCCCACAGGTACGCATCATATGGGAGGCAACCAATCAATGCAAAGCATCTATGTTTCTTTCTCTTCCTTCCTCTCTCCTTTCTTCTCTCTCTAAAAAGCAATGAGGAGTAAATTGACCTCAGGTGAGGATAAAACAAAATTTTTTTCAATTTCTAATGTATTAGAAACATAAAAGCGTTATCTTTTAAAATCTGTTTTATTACTGGTAAGTATAACCTTCCCTTTCCTCCCTCTCCTGCTCACCCCCCTCATTTTGGCCATTTTTCTTTTTAGCTTTTTAAAAAAGATTTTATTTATTTAGTTTTAGAGAGAGGGGAAGGAAGGGAGAAAGAGAGGAAGATAAACATTGATTCAACAGAGAAACATTTATTGGTTACCTCTAGTACAAACCTCATTGGGGGACCAGACACCAATGAGGGTTTGGCCCAACATAACTCAGCATGTTCCCTGCCTGGGAATGGAATCAGTGACCTTTTGCATTGCATGACAATGCCCAACTCAGCCACATCAGTCAGGGCTGTCTTTTCAGCTTTTAATGATTGCCTTGCATATTTGAATTAAACCCTCTGCCACACTTTTAGCACTCTTTTTTCCTGTTGCCTTAGTGAACTTTTAAATTTCACTAAGAGTGGTTGTGAGTTCAAAATATATATTTTCCAAGAAATACTTAGATAAATTAAGCTACTGATTTTCTGAAAGATTTTATTTATTTATCTTTAGAAGGGAAGGGAAGGGAAGGAGAGAAGGAGAGAAATATCAATATATGGTTACCTTTCGTGGGTCCCCTGCTGGGAACTGGCCTGCAACCCAGGCATGTGCCCTGACTGGGAATTGAACCATGATCTGCTGGTTCACAGGCCCATGCTCAATCCACTGAGCTACACCAGCCGGGAATAAGCTAATGATTTTTAAAACAGTATGTGCCATGTTCTGTGTTAGTCACTTATATAAGGATTTATGAGGGTAACCAAAGATTGTGTTTGAGGTAACACATTGTGCTCATTCCCCAAATGCCCTTTGGAACCCTGTGTGCACAAACCATTCTCTAAAGTTACAGATTTAATAGACTGGAATGATCATAGGCATATCTTGGTCTAGCATAATTTATGTTCTGCTTAAAAGATTAAATTAGCTATATATGTTCATAGTATCTATAAAACAATTATAGAATGGTCAAAAAAGCATATGTATTACAGACATATAATAGAGATTATTGTAGAAATGTACATATTCTAGAAAAGTCACTTAGAATCAATCCCTAAAATGACTGAATTTAACTTAAAATTATTTCCCCAACTTTAATCTTGACTAGATATGTCATTGGGCAGTAAGAAGCAAACTATAAAAAAACAAGAAAAATGCTGTTAAATATTTAAATCAAATAACTTTATTAAGGTTTAGAGTTACTTGGAGTGCAAATATTCATGGAATTGTTTATTTTGTGTGGTTACAGAAGACCATTGATTTTATGTTTTTCTTGATAAATCTGGTTCATTGGCAAGAGCCCTGGAACTCATGGTTTATTCTATACTCACCAGTTATTACTTCCTTAACATTGTTGGTTCTTTTTTTATAGAAAGAGAAAAATCTGTGAGTTGTACTCCAAAGTGCTGGGATCTGAAGAAGCTTTACAAGTAAGAACACTCAGCTTTAATACCTGGCAGGTTGTTCTCTGTTTGCTCTAAAGCGTAAAATAGAGCAGATTCTGGTTCCCTGACAGGCTTATGAAGAAAGTATAAACGGATATGCTTACTGCAGGATTAATTTCAGCTATCACAGAAGGCCATTAAAAACTGCTGATAGGTGCAAGAAAGTTTTGACACAGTGGTTCCTTGGACCCTTTAAATACTCACTGAATAACTGGCAGTCAGTTGTAGTCAGAGCCTGGAGCTTCACATGTTATCTCCAGGATGGAGCAGTTCCCACAACCAAGGTCCTGCCCTCCTGTCAATGTCAACTGACTACTGTGAAATAAAATCCCAGATATATCATCATTTGTTGGTAAAGGCACTGCAGTATACACTTGACAATATAACTGAATCTAGACTCTCTGCCCAGGTCAAAGTTATATTAATTTATTTTCCCATTTGTAGACTCAATTCACAGCTTACTTGGGAATTTCAGTGCTTTCAATCCACCACTAAAAATAATTATGCAAATGAAATTCTTTCTGAAGATACTACCAGGTAGCTTAGGGCTCTTTTAGGGGATTATATCTGAACTGCTCAAATAACAAATTTGCAGAATGTATTAGGGAAATCAGAGAAGGTTCTCTCATGTCCCTTGAGAAACATCTTAATCTTTAATTCTCCTCTTTTTATCAGAATTCATATCATACAGTTTTCTAGCTTGGAGAAGTTAGAAAACTGGTTCTGAAAAAAACTCATTCATAGACACTGTATTTATCTTCTGCCTCCTCCCTTCCACACTTTTTTTCAGTAGTAATGCCTTGGTAGATGGGGAAGTAAAATCTGTTATTTAGAGGATGCAGAGATTTGAGTAGACCTTACCAGAACCTGATTATTGTTTTTGTCTTTGTTGTTCAAATACAGTTTTCTGTCTTTTACTCCCATCCCAGCCCACCCACCGAGCCCTCCCTCTCCCTCCCATTTCCACCTGCCCTAGTTTTTGTCCATGTGTCTTTTATACTTGTTCCTGTAAACTCTTCCCCTTTCCCCTGAAGTTCTCCCCCCTCTCCCCTCTGGACACTGTCAGCCTGGCCAGAACCCGATTATTGATGGGGTATCCTGTACACTTAGGTCTGAAGACTTCAGAATCTGCCTGGAGATGCTCTGTGTCCAGAGTAAAGAGGTTGAGAAAGTCAAAGTATACATGTTTAGTTGCTTGGTATCTCACAAAAGACCATTACATTACTTGGTTCTGTTATATTTCCCCATAAATGTGCTAGAAAACCAGGTTCATATTTTTAAAAAATGTAAACTTTTTAAAAGTAAAATACACGAGGACCTTCATTGTTGACTGACAGAACTTCAGCTGTGTCTTTCCTTTAAATTTTCTCCTCATTGAATTTCAGCCAGTACATTATGAAGAAAAGAACTGGTGTGAAGAACAATACTCAGGAGGCTGTTATACCGCCTACTTTCCTCCTGGCATCATGACTCAATATGGAAGGTACTACTCAGACATCAAACTTACAAAAATAGCAAAGTTTAATGGGAATTTTAGGAATCGTAATCAGCATTCCTATTTATAATGTCTCAAGTAGTTAGTTTGTATATTTCTGGATGTCCATAGGAAAATAAGTTATGTTGGTATACAGAAAAATAGCTGTCAGCACAGAGAACAATAGCAGAATACTGGTGAGGATTTCAGATGTCAGCAAGTTGCAGTGTCTTTAAAGGGGATTTCTTGAGCTCAATTACACATTTAGTCTCACACAATTACCCTAGGCTCCTAGCACCAGTTTACACAGAAGGACATGGACTAAACACATCTTGCTAGCAGAGCAGAATCATATATTCATCTTCAGGGAGAGAGATCCCACTATGTGCAGCTAAGGTGATAGCCCTACAGGGTGAGGGAGTCCATCTTGGTTTAAAAGCCCAGTAGGAATCATTGTCTCTTCTAATAGCCTAATTTGCATAGTGTCCAGGGTCCCTGCAAGGGATTTGCCAAGTCACAAAAGGTACCACACTCATTGAAGCCCAAAGTAATAGCCTCCTACTAGGTACTTACAATTCATGCCAGTCTTCACCATCCAGATCCAATTTACCACTGCATAAGCAGTGTTGCCCAGTAACATAGATGGCATTGTACCTTCATCAGGTTTCCTAAGGAAACAGAGTTAGAAAGTTAACTGAAGGTCACATTTGTCCACGAAGGAAAAATAATTTATTAACCCTTTCCTTACATGGGATTTTTTTTATTATTAATTGCAATGAAGGCCTTTGGGGTAGAGATGGGCAGCTTAGGAGACTTTATAAAAGGGGCTATAGGGACTTCCGCCAAGATGGAGGCATAGGTGGATGTGCCGTGCCTTCTCACACAACCAAGATTAGAGAAAACTAAATATTAGCAACAGAAAACACAGCCAGAACACGGAAAATTGAACTTTTCGGAAGCCCGTTAACAACAAATTCTTCAGCCTGACCGGTAAGGGGCGAAACCAGCAGCTGGCGGAGCAGGGTTGTGCAGGAAAACTCGGCCAGACACACTCAGGCCCACAGAATCCAGGCGCAGGGTCGGACCTGGTGAGCGACCCAGCGAGCAACCAGGCCAGCGACCTCGGGGGAGACAGCCGGGCCCGGGGCTGCGTGTTGACTGAGGTCGCGCATTTGTGCGAGGGTGGACAGGCGAGGGAGTGGGCGGTTGGACCGGGCCGGCAAGCCGCCATTTCCCTGCTCTGACCCCACCTCCACAAACAGCGTCATAACCCAGAGACTCTGAGTGGCCCGGCCCAGGTGAACCACCTAAGGCACTGCTCCTCCGCACCCAGCTGTGAGAAGCGGCAGAGGGGGTTGCCATTTCCCTGCTCTGGCCACGCCCCCACATACAGCGTCACAACCCAGCGACCTGGGAATCCAAGCCACCACTTCTCACACTTAAAGGGCCCGAACAGACCAAGAATGGCGCAGGAGGATCTCAGAGCCCCAGAAATAAATCTAAGCGATGAAGAAATAGCAAAACTCACAGGCGCACAGTTTAAAAAATTGGTGATCAGGATCCTCACAGAACTGGTTGATTATACCGACAAATTAGACAAATATATGAAGGCGAAACTAATTGAAATGAATGGAATTGCACAGGACACCAATAGCAATGAAAAGGAAACTGGGACTCAAATCAATGGAGTGGACCAGAAGAAAGCAAATAATGGCCAAACAGAAAAGAGTCAAGAAGCAAGAATTCAAAAAAATGAGGAGAGGCTTAGGAACCTCCAGGACATCTTGAAACGCTCCAACATCTGAATTATAGGGGTACCAGAAGGGGGAAAGGCACAGCCACCAGTGGAGAACTTATTTGAACAAATAATAAAGGAGAATTTCCCCAATCTGGCAAAGGGAAATAGACTTCCAGGAAATCCAGGAAGCTCAGAGAGTACCAAAGAAGTTGGACCCAAGAAGGAACACACCAAGGCACATCGTAATTACATTAGCCAAGACTAAAATGAAGGAGAGAATCCTAGAAGCAGCAAGAGCTAAGGGGACAGTCACCTACAAAGGAGTCCCCATCAGACTGTCAGCGGATTTCTCAAAAGAGACCTTACAGGCAAGAAGGGGCTGGAAAGAGGTATTCCAAGTCATGAAATCTAAAGACGTACATCCAAGATTGCTCTATCCAGCAAAACTTTCATTTAAAATGGAAGGACAGATAAGGTGCTTCTCAGATAAGAGCAAATTCAAGGAGTTCATCATCACCAAGCCCTTATTATATGAAACGTTAAAGGGACTTATCTAAGAAAAAGAAGTTAAAGAAACATGAACAGTGAAAGGACAACAAACTCAGTTATTAACAACCACACCTAAAACGAAAGCAAAGTAAAAGGACAGCTAGATCAGGAGTGGAAACATAGATATGAAGATCTCAAGGAGGGTTAGCAACAGGGGAGTGGGAGGAGGAGAAGGGGGAGAAGGTACAGAAAATAAGTAGCATAGACAGTAGATAGAAAATAGAAGGGGGGCAAGAATAGCATAGGAAATAGAGAATCTAAAGGACTTGAGACACATGGTCATAAACTAAAGGGGGGTGATGGTGGGGATGGGGGGTAGGGTGGAGGGGAATAAAGGGGGAATAGAACAACTGTAACAGCATAATCAATAAAAAAATTAAAAAAATAAAATAAAATAAAAGTAAGCTTCTCTGAGAAGCTCCACATATTCCATTAAAAAAAATAAATTAAAAATAAAAGGGGCTATAGACATGGTGGAAGTCAAACCCAACAAGGTAGGAAAGGATAGTTGTCTGTTCAGCCCAGGCCATCCATGGTTCTCTTCACTGAGACCACTTTGTAAGAGAAGGACCATTTCCTGCCCTCACCCAGTCTCCAGATAAATTCTTAGATGCTAACTGTACAGAGGTTGTTTTTTTTTAAGAGATAGATTTATAATCCCTCGGGTCTTTTCCTTGACAGAAATCATTTAATCTTATCTTTCCACTTGCCACTACAGTTCCACCTGGCAGCCTGGGAGTGCCTGCCTGGCTGTGGTCAGTGGTCAGATGAGATCTCTTGCAGAATGCACCCCTTTGGAAAGACAGTGTAGGGAGCAGACTGAATTACAAACAAGAAACATATAACAAATAAATCTGAATGTGAATTCAATGCATGTTCTTATATTCCAATTCTGGATGGCTAAGGAAAGGTCAACATCACCTTTAGTGATTGATCATCAGACAGCCTGATTCTCTCTGGCTTGAAAGTTCAGACCCTTGGGTATAGGCCAAGGAAACAAGACGGAGCTTTTCACATTTGGCTGAGGCACATGGGAGTTTTTGAAACAATTTGAGTTACCTTGTGTTTTGTGGGGTGAATGAGGGCAGTGATTGACTCATTAATCTTCAGTGCCTCCTCAAGCAACTGTGACCTCTCTGTTCATTTGAAGGGTGATTCGCGAACCAGTAGACAGGATTTATTTTGCTGGAACAGAGACAGCCACACATTGGAGTGGGTATATGGAAGGAGCTGTTGAAGCTGGAGAACGAGCAGCTAGATCGGTAAGGGAGTCCAAGTTATCTTCCCTCCTGAGTCCAGCCTTGTTTTTGTATCTGACCTTTCTAGATTTTGACATGAATAAATATGTATGTCTGTGTTTTGCCCCTTACTCCACTCAGGGGGCTCATCTGTGGCCAGCAGTGCCTTGAATATGTCAAAACTATAGAACTTCATTTCACAATACCATTGCTGCTTTCTTTCAGATCTTGTATGTTATGGGGAAGGTGGCAAATATAGACATTGAAGAACCTGAATCAGAGGTAAATTTGGCAGCTTCATCTCCATATACCAGTAACTGTATATAGATATCTGATAGTAACTCATATCTCTCATCTTCTAGCCTCTGGTGTAATTGTAGTTGCCACTCTCCAAGGCATATCTATGCACTCATTTTGCAGATGTTTTGCCCTTCCATGTCAGTGCAGGAGTTTTCTGCTAATGATCTGTGTTCATTCATCTAGGATGTTCCAGCTACTGAAATCAGGCATACATTTTGGGAAAGACATCTCCCCTCAGTGCCAGGCCTCCTGAAGTTCATTGGATTGTCCACGTCAGTAACTGCCCTGTGTTTTGTGGCATACAAGTTTAGGCTGCTGAAATGATCCTGAAGTACACTCTCCACTTAGTCTTTTCTAGTGCTATCAGCAGAAAATTGTCAACAAATTAATGGCTGTGTCTCATTAGACTATCATTAAGTGCACTGGATATAACCCCTTAGTTTAGTCTGTGATAAAGTAAAAACAACTCACAGAATCACCTCATTAAAATCAGTAAGTGCAAGCTCCATCTCATTTGTCTATGTAAACTAATTTGTGTTGATTGGTAGAATAAAACCTTGTGGTCATTTTTTAAAATTTCAAGTTCAAGTGTTCATCAGAAATAATTTCTATGTCCTATTTCCCCCTTTAACATAAAATGCCTGATGCTTACAAAAATGAAGCCTTTAACTTTCTATAGAAGTTAAATAGGTGAAGGCCCAGCTTGTGACTGATTTTTTCAGTCTTTAGGAAATGGTGAAGTGTAGGTCCAGAGTACAGGAGGTCACAGCTTCTTGGGGTGAGCTGATTCCACCTTGGATGAAGAAATAGTACATGAAAGCAGTAGAGGTAGACCAGTGAGGTGGGGAAGGGCATTTTTTAGGCTATTGCCTCAGGAATCTCTGGACTGCTTCTAGTCCCTATGAAGTTTCTAGATATCTTGTACCAGTGATAAATCACTTGTATATTTTCCCCTTTTGCTTCTTAAATGGGACAGTGTTTACCAAGGCATAATGATTAAATTGACTTTCTGTGACTTCTGTACATCTCCCCAGGTGAGCAAAGTAAACTAGTGCTAGGATTGTTCCCAAGAGACCTCCCTGACTAGCTAGCTCTACATGAGGCATCTTCTCTTCTTCCTGGAATATGGCTAGATATCATTTTACTCAATGTGATATCATTTCACTCAATTGTGACATCAATGTTATCATTGATGATAAAATTCTCTACCAATTTCAAGAAAGCAGTATTTTCCTTTCTTTCAGGCAGACCCTAGCTATCTGAAAGCCCTTAGTGACATTTTTTTTTCTTTTTTCCTATGACCATAGTAGAGTTAGACAGACCTGTTAATTTCAATATGTTTTCAATATGGTTACCCTACTGTTAGCATGCCAGTTTCTCTCAAATAACTGAAAAAGACATTAAAAATTTCTTATTGTTATTTGTTGAGACTATGAGATACATAAGGAAAATTATGTCTCTATATTATAAATTCACCTGCTTTACTTATTAAATTTTATATAAGAAATGAAATTCAGTGATTTTACATATGAAGACTAAGTTCTATAAGGAATTATGTGGGCCCAGAGCAGTACCACCTCTTGCATTTCCAATTTGAAAAACTATCAAATGTTTAATAGCCCCTTCCAAAGGTTTCAGCCACAAACCACTTCTTTTTTCAATATAAATATGTGGAGAAAAATCAGCATAGATGTGATCAAATAAAGCAATTGAGAAGATTCAGTGGACACAGGTACACAGGTGGTAGATACACAGTAAAACCTTATTGTAGAGCATCAATGAATGAATGTTTCATTTCAAATGAAGTTTCTAGATAGCCAAAACTTACTCTTTTATGTGCCAAAATTTTTAAATAAAAATTTCAATGAACATATTTCCATACATTATTAAACAAGCTACATCCAATTAATTTTTTATTGATAAGGTCAATCATTATATGCATGAATTATATTATATAATAATACCATCATGTTTGCCCTTCTATAAAATGTCACATGATTGTTTTGTAGCTGTTGAGTGGGCTACTGCTTCTTCTGTCTTCTCCCATATTCAGCATTTTATTTCATATCCACTTTATTTTCTAACACCCATTAACCAAATCTATTTTGTATTGAATGAGAATTAAAGACCTCCAAAGGAGAACAACCCAAGTTTATTATATAATCAACCTTATCATAAATCCACAATTAAGTTATGACCATGGTATGAGGAGTTAAGGTATTTGTTTTGCCTCACATTAGAGCAAAGAGTAGGATTTTTTTTTTTTGCTGCTCTTTAACTTTAATTTGAAAAGTGTTTTATCTAATTTAGTTTTGGTAGTGCTTTGGATATGCTCTAGTACATAGTGAGGTGAACATACATCAAACCACTTAATAGAAATCACATCCCTGATCTATTTCAGTTGGTTCTGTTCACTTACTTATTAACTTGGCTCTGACACACCTTTTGGCAAAATCTCAACTGGCAAGAGTTTTAACAGTAATCAAGTTGATAGCATATCCAAGTTTTCAATATTGAAGAACTCCTGAGTATTCAGTTACCCTCTTCTCAAACTTTTTAGAAAGCCGATTAATTTATTCTAATTAGATCAGCCCTATTAAGCTACAGATTGACTATTAAAATGGATGCCATTCCAGATGTGCATAATCATAAAATTGGAGCTGAAAACTCCCACCATATAGGAGATTGTTCAACACTAAGAAAGATACCATAGGTCTTTTCTCCATTCCAGAGAAACCAGTCAATTTCAACAACTGATAGAGCCAGGCTCTGTTAAGGCATCTGCCTAACAGTTCTGAGGGCTGAATTGGTCTTACTCCATTGTAGGATTGAGAATTAGATTTTAAAACTTATCTTTTTGTCACAACTGTTAAATAAGGATCTATACTACACTGAGGAAAAAATATTGAAGGACCATGAACTACATTTAGTTTGATTGTAAACTTGATGCCTAATGTTCTGTCTGAAATGTACCCAAGTACTATATGTGGGAGTATGCATAAGTGTTTGTTTTGCAACTGAAATATGATTTTGCCTGTATGGTACTGTTGATTTGTTAATAAAGTGTACTACCATCCCTGATTCAGACCTTGCTTCTCTATTTAGTCAATAGTCCCAAGGTTAAATGGCTTTTTATAGCAGGAGGTCACAACCATGGATGATGGGTTTAAAAAGTCACTTTGTATTGATTCCAACTTCTCATAATTTGGTTTGACTCTCATGTTTATCAAGGATTCCTGGGAGCTGATTAAATTCTATAGTGTTGTCTGCCTGGGTATAATTAGTCAGTACAGTGTCTAATCAAAGATTTCTCACCTAATTAGCATATAATACCTTGAGCAAATCACTTTAGTTCTCTGCCTCAGTCTCCCCATCTGGAAAAGGGTGGGTTGCACTTGATGGCTTCCAAGGATTCCTTTCATGGAAGCATTATGTGATTTATGCATTTGTTGCCAGCACTCTATGTTTGCTTATCAATATGTCAGGAGCAAGTCACTCTGCCTTCGGTCTCTTGGTTCACTCCTTTGTCTTACATTAGGTTTCCTGGAAACAGACTCTGAGATTCAGAATCAGGAAAGAAAGCTTATTGGAAACAGCTCTCAGAAAATACAACTACCAAGGTGAGGTAGGCAGGATTGGGCAGGAGTTGACCTACAAAGCAGTTGCAACTGAGGCCTCAGCAGATCCTAAGGAGGAGATGGGAAGGCCCTTCAGAATTGTCCCCCATTCAGGCAAAGGGGTCTGGCCTCTGTACTCTTTCACTAGCCATACTTTGCAAGGGGGCAGTACCTTGGGTGAGAACTGCAGCTGTGACCAAAGATCAACCTGCGTTCCCAGCAGCTGGAGAATCCAGAAAGAAGCACCCACAGCAGCATTTATTTTACTCCCCACCTCAAAAAATATATTTTGTCCTTTGTCATGTAAAAAATCTGGATCTGAGGTTTGGTTTTGACAAATAGAATGAAGCTATTGCTGTGAAACTGCCCCTGCTAGGTAAGGTAACTGCTTTTAGAAAGTTATATTTCTGCACTATTTATGTGGAAGAAAAAAATCAGAATTGGAAGGAACTCTGGAAATGTTTCAACCTCTGTCTCAGTGAAGGAACACCCTTCTACAATTTAGCGATAGAAGGTCAAAGTGGGTGGTGGAGAAGATTGTGCATTTATAAGCATGAGTCCAAAATCTAATGTCTTCAGTAGTCAGGCAGCCAAAAATGAGCAGCAGGTATGAGACATTAGGGAGTATGGAAACTGTAGCTGATCTAGGGAGTATCTGCCCCTCAGAAAAGCTTTTATATTCAAATTTCTTTAAAAGATTGGTAACCAGTTAAGATACATTTGAAGGCTTTGTTCACATGTCCAAATTGTTCTCAAGTCTCATAAATAAGTGCAAGGCTTTGTTTTACATCGTAATGATTAATTCTTTTTGGATGTCTTTCATTTCTTGAGAAATGAGTACCAAGACCAGCACTCATTTTGTAAAACTTCTTGGAGCTGGCAAAAAGACAAGGAATAGGAGGAGAGAGGAAAAAAATCCCTTTTAGATCAGAAATCTTCCTCGAGAAATAACCCTTCCCCCAGTGCATCCCAAGGCAATGCTTATCACCTACTATGTCTATGTCATAATTGACAAGAGAAGTGCCAAACTTTATTGGAAAAAAATGCATCCTCACTATAAGGTAGAAATCAACTATTGTCAGTGGTTAATCTCTGTTGACTATGATACAGTTCCAATAAACAGGACACTAACATTGAATGAATGGATTTTTTAAAACTATACTTGTTACTGGACAGGGGCCTGATCCTGACTGGGTCTGCCTAGGGCCAGCTGTAGTGTGTGTAAGAAAGATTACACAACACAAGTCCAGGTGACTATGAGGATCCATTTGTTAAAGCTGGGGATAGTGAAACAAGGAATGGCCTAGTGTAGAAGAAGCAACAGGAGAGCCTAGGCTGGGCTGCTTTAGTTCACTGGGAAGTCAGAGAAAAGGGGACTTTGGAGACACGATCAGAGGATTAGCCTGCAAAAATGTGCCAACTGCCCATTGGGAAGAAGAGTGGAAAGGGAATGGCTCAGGCTGCTCCCCAGAAGGAGAGCACAATGGAACAGAGTCCTTAGTCTTGAGGCTTTTCTCTTTTTCTTGCAGGTGGGAATCTTAGGGGAGGTCTCAAGGGAGGGTTTCAGCAGAATATTCATCAGTTTTCTAGGAGTGCCCTTTCAGGGTCGTGGTCTCCACTGATTGGTAAGTGACAGGGCAGGGGTCACGTTAGTCATTTAGGCTGATCCTGGCGTCACTCCCATGATTTCGCAGCTTTTCTGGACCTGGAGCTGAAACACAGCTGAGGCCTAGATGTTATCTTCAGAGAGGAAACACCAGGGGAGGAAACATCATCCTGGGGGCGAGGACCTTGTTTTCCCAGTTTTGCCCCCTGACTGGCACTGGGCCCTTCCCCTAGTGACCATCTGCACCTGGCTATAAATTGCTTGGCCATTGTGTTCAGCTGTCTGTCTCAGTTTCCCTTTTCCACTTGCCAAGGAATTTTTCTACCTTCTTACTTACTATCCTGCCTCATACTGACCACTTTACACCAAGGTGGAAATAAAAATGAAAGGCAAGTGCCTTAGCCTAGAGACTTTGGAGGAACTGGGGGGTAACAAAGGAAGGTATTGAGTAATAGTAACAATTCCCTTTCTTCTATCAGAGCTTAGGGCTTAGTTTCCTTCCTTGACCAAGGCTATTGTCTCCAGAATCCAAATGCAGGTCTCAGAGTGACAGCTGGTGTAAACTTGTCTTAACCTGGAACCAAGTTTGGGAAGACAGCTTTGGGGCCTCATATGAAAGAAAATTGGCTTTAGGGAACTAGGAATTCCTTCAAGGTAGGTCGTGGGCCACTCAAACAAGACGCCACTCGATGCATGTATGAGCCATACAAGACTATTATTTATTTATAATCCTTTACAGCCACACCTCAATGGAAACCATGTTTTTCTATTAATGGGCCTCAGATATTTTCCAAGAATCATCAAGATCCATATGTGGATTTGTGGTAGAATGTACTGGTGTGGGTGTATGCTTGGGTGGTGGGGTGGAAGCAAGAAAAAGAGAAGTGAAGTTGCAGGGGGAGGGAGTTGCTTAAATGTCCACAAAGCAACATGATGACAATTTTGATAGGTTGATACCACCAAAGTGAATAGGGTACACCTGAATGTTGTGCCATTTACTCTGTAATTCAGAGGACTTGCCTTACAGAGTTGTTGGGGAAAGTTAGGTAATGAAGGTAAGGGCTTAGCATAGCAAATAGTAAGTATTAGCTATCCATTGACCTTTTACAATAGAAGGCAAAGAAGGTAATTTTAAAATTTTGTGAGCCCTGTATTTTTGTAATCATTCAACACATACTTACTGAGTATCTACTATGTGTTGGTGGGCACCATGTTAGAATTCAGCAGTGAAAAGAGAGAATTCCCTTCATGAAGCACATAGTCCACTGTATATGCCAAGCAACACATTTGTTTGGGCTCTGACCAGTACTATGGAAAACATAAAATACTATGTATGCAGGGAAAGTTTCTAGAGGGTTATGGGATTTAAGGACAGGTTTCTAAATTCCATCCTCAAACTTCCATAGGTCACTGTGTAGCAAGTCAGTGAGGGGAAAGGAAATAAAAATGATATGGGGTTTTACTATAACAAAATCCCATAAACTGGGTGACATATAAACAGCAGAAATTTATTTTTCACAGCCCAAACATCAGCATATGGGGTGTCTGGTAAGGGCCTGCTTTCTGCTTCACAGATTTTTAGCTTTAACCTCACCAGTTAGAAGGGGCAAGGGATATCTGTGGAGCCTCTTTTATAAGGGCATAGATTCAATTCATAAAGTCTCCACCTTCATTTCCTAATCACCTACTAAGGACCCTACCTCTTAATACCATAGACTTTTGGGTTAGAAATTCAAGATGCAAATGGAGAGGGAGGTACAAACATTCAGATCATATCAGATGGCATGGCTAAGTGGCGAAGAAAATCACAAGCATCATCAGTAAGTGCTGAATGTTAAGTCCCACTTGCTCTATTGACCATTGTTCACCCTTTTAGTCTTCTATTGTTCCTGTCTACCTAGTACTTCACTGCAATCTGAGATATTTATCAACTGAGACTATCTTCCAGCCCATTGTGCTAAGAGCCACCTAAATTTGTTTTAAAAGGGTGCCATCTTCTGGCCAAACACTACTGTTTCCTTTCAATGAAAACCCTGAAGTATTCAACTTAGTTTTGTCCTTCAGGGAAACTAAGAGTTGTCACCTCCATCCAGAATTTCCTCCAAACACATTTGCCTGCTCTTTCTTACTTTCCAGTTGCAACATGAATAAAAAATATTAATGTCTAATATCCTTAGTCTTTCCTCTGCCCTAATCTCCCAGGAATATTTTTTGTTAGAACTGCTTGGTTCCTCAGCCTCTGTTGTATCCATCTGAGTAATGTGTGAGGGAGAAAATTTGCAGGATCTGAGAGAGGTGGAATTCTTTTACATTAGATTGGGCAAGGAACTAATCTAGGAAAAACAGAAGAAAGGAGGTGGCAAGAACAGGAGAAATTTTCAAAAAGTCAACTTGTAGTTATGGACTGCAGCTGGAGGGAGGGAAGAAGGGATTTTCAAAAGCTGCCTTGACAGCCCAGATAGACAGAAAGTTAGGAAGATTTTAAGGAAGTTTGGCTAGGATGCATGCAGTGCAATAAATATTTGTGCTACTGTTTACGCTTTGGGAGTCAAAATTGTGTTTCCTTTAGATAGTGTATTGTTCTGAGACCACCTTAGAAGTTCCCCAAACAACTTATGTTATCCTGAGCTATATAAATTCAGAAAAGAGATGGGTAATAGTTTCTGGCATCTTCAATGGTGCCTAAAGAGTTCTGTAAGTTCATTTGTGGGATCTCAGTAGAACTAAAGAGAAAAGACCTAAAAAATTCTGCCATGAAAAAAACAGGTTCTAATCTAGTAAACCATACACCCCAAACTGGATAGACACATAATAGGTTTGGCAGTGAATTCTATATATATATATATATATATATATAT